ATTTTACCGCCATTTTTAAAATAATGGTACAACCATTGCAACGTAAGGCATATTTTAGTAGAACCATTTTTCAACCATTTCAAGATAATTATTGATTATTTCAAAATATTATCATGGTTATAAATTAGTATTATGAAATATTATATAATTTTCGTCGATTATATTAGGATAGCAGAAAAAATTAATTGCAAACATAGACAAATTTTATTAAAAGCATTTTATAACTATTTTAAAATTAATTGTCAATTATTATTTAAAAACGTTATCAAAATTATGAATATAACAATCTAAATTTATAAGACTATTGTAAAAAATAATTGTTATTGATTGAGTTCAAATGTTCTAAAACATATACCTAGAAATCTAATCTTACCAAAAACATTTGTACATTCATTTACAAATATCATTATCATTCATTATTGGAAAATATTATCAAAGTTATACATTTAAGAATATAATTTAATTAACCACTAGTTTTAGGATAATTTATTTTAAAAAAAAACAATCTTAGCATTCATTCCATGTCTTGAATACTTGGTGTTGGGATCTTATTCATTTCATTTTAAAAGAACATCAAAATTTCTCTTATTGTTATGAAAGATATGCAAATAAGACAATAAAATTGGCATAATAAATTAAAATATAGTAATGTCCAATACAGATGTAAGCTAAAGTTGAATCATAATACAATAAGTTAAAAACAAAGGTTTGAATTTGCAATCGCAATCATAAATGAGTAATGAGTTTGAACAACATATAAAAACTAATAACTATAATGACATGTGCACATAGCAAAACACTAACAGATGAACCAATGCGTAAATATAGATTAGGAAATCGAACATTACCTAAATGCAAAGATGCGAGGCTGAGATGTGCAGAGATGACGTAACGAATGGTCTCACGAACTGCAAGGAACATGAACAATATAATAAGTAGGTGCGTGGGGGCATGAAAAAATAGATAAAAGGAGAGGAGAGTACCTTAGGAAGCTATGATCCGTGTGAAATGCATGCTACTAAATAAGAAATGCTTGTAATAAGAAAGTAATAAGAACAAGAATAAGGAAAAAAATTAAAGTGAGAATAATTAGATTATGTCATGCCATAAAAATAAAATATGTTGGGATTATTTTGGAGTCAAAATGAAAGAAAGAAAAGAAATAACCTTTGCCAGTTATTGGGCCAATAAATAACAAAGCCCATTATAAGGTTTTTAAACCTAGCCGTGAAGACCAAAATAATTAGCAGCCGAAGAGAAGAAAAAGAAGGTAGTGGCGGCTGGGTGGTTGATTATTTTGGGCGGCAGTAGCTTGTTGGCAGAGAAGGAAAAAGGAGAACAAGGGTTTGTAGAGCATCGTCGGCAGCCCGTTCTCTTGAGGTTAGTGAAGTTTTTCATTTTGTATTCCTAAGTAGCTATTGTCATAGTTCTTAGAAGCTAGATGGCGATTATTGTGACATCTAGAGAGCGCTTTGTAGAGCGTTTGTGAGGCTCATTGTATTTATCTCAATATCATAGTAGAACCCGTTGTCGCGGAAGATTGGACGTAGCCCATAGTTAGGGTGAACCAATATAAATTCTCTGTGTCGTTTCTGTGCTTTTCCATATATTTGCATATTGTGGTTGTGTTTGGATATTTTATGTGGAAGGAAAAATTATACAGGATAGTTAATTTTCCAACAAGTGGTATCAGAGCTGTAAGGTTGCAGCATCATGGGTGACAAATATCAAGCACACCATTACTATGAAGGGGTTCTAAAGTTCAATGGAGAGAATTTCAGTTTTTGAAAGATGCAAGTAAAAGATCTTCTTACGTGCAAGAAGATACACAAGACTTTGGGGGAGAGACCAGGGGATATGACAGACAAAGCTTGGAATGAGATGGATGAGCAGACCATTGCAAATATCAGAATGACATTATCAATGGGGGTATGCAGTCTCGTGGCGAAAGAGACGACTGCAAAAGAGTTGTTGAAGGCCTTGCAAGATAGGTATGAAAAACCTTCTGCCAATACAAAAATACTTCTATATAGAAGTATTTTAACATCCATATGGAGGAGGGAACCTCGGTGAATTCCCACATTAATGAGCTCACCGATATCTTGAACAAATTAAAAGGGATGGGTGTCAAGATTGAGGAGAAGGTGAAAGCTATGAGGCTGTTGACGTCTTTGCCTGATAGTTGGGAGACGATGAAGACCGCGGTGTCGAATTCGCTGGGAGAAAATAGCTTGAAATTTTCAGCTATTTGTGATGTCGCCTTATTTGAGGAAGCCTGGAGAAAATTAGGGAAAATGTCTGCAACTACTTCAGGGGCAGAAAATGGAGTTGAATCAGTTTTGGTAGCTCAGATTAAGGGGAAGGGCAAGATGAAGTACAACGGGAAGCAGCAACATAGGAATAATAAGGTAACGGGAGTTCCAGTGGAGAAGTTGAATATTTTTGCTGCCACAAGAATGGTCACTTCAAGAAACACTGCATGAAGCTTAAGGAGGATCAGGAAAATGAAGACACTCTAAATTATGTGTTAGCGGATGTGTTAGCTTGTATTGAAGGTAACACAACACCTGTAGACTGGTCATCAGAGTGGATAGTGGACAGTGCAGCTTTGGTGCATGCAGCTTCAGACATGAGTTGGTTCACGTCCTTTGCTGTAGAAAATCATGGCGTGGTGAGGATGGTAAATGGGAGACTCTCCAAGATCAGAGGAATTGGTGATGTTCGTCTGAGAACTGACAATGAGACCGAGTTAGTTTTTCATGGTGTCAGGTATGTACCCAGTTTCATGATGAATTTGATATCAGCGGGGAAGCTGGATGACGAAGGCTACAGAAGTGAGTTTGCAGAGAACAGATGGAAACTCATGAGAGGATCCGAGGTAGTGGTTGTTGGCTACAGAAAAGCTTCAGTGTATGTGTTGAGGTTTAGTGTTGCCAGAGAATTAGAGAGACAGGTTATACACAGGGCTGCAGATAGTTCAGGGGGAGACTTGAAAGAACTAGCAGCATTGACAGTCGGCTGAGAAGTAGAGGAAAGTGAAAGGGGAACAACTCAGTGAGGCTTTCAACGGACTATCAGTTTCGAGCCCCAGTTGTCAGACGGATTAACGAGCTGATGAAGTCGCGTAGGCGAAAGAGTGCATTGAGAAAGACTACAGTTGGTGCTAAGGTAGAGGGTGGTGTCTCTAGAGTGGCAACGAACTTGGGTGGGAGTGCCAAGTCATCAGTGAAAAAGCTTTCCTTTAAGAGTCGTTGGGTGCGAGTGAAGAAGGAAGCGTCGGAGACCACTTAGTTCGAGTGGGAGCACGTGGTTGTGTCTCTAACGTCTGGAAGACAAGACCACGTAGGATTGCTTAGTCTCAGGGCAATCACAGATGGAGCCTTGGTTCGTGCTAAGAAGATTTTAGAAATTGTTGGTGCAGTAAGAGTTAAGCCTTGGTTGGTGCCAAGAGGATGTTGATCAGTTAGAATATGTTGGTGTAGTCAGAACTGAGTCATGAGGGATACTGTTGTTGCAGTGAGAGGCGAGATTGTTATTTTGTCTCCAAGTGGGAGATTGTTGGGATTATTTTGGAGTCAAAATAAAAGAAAGAAAAGAAATAACCTTTGCTAGTTATTGGGCCAATAAATAACAAAGCCCATTATAAGGTTTTTAAACCTAGTCGTGAAGACAAAAATAATTAGCAGCCGAAGAGAAGAAAAAGAAGGTAGTGGCGACTGAGTGGTTGATTATTTTGGGCGGCAATAGCTTGTTGGCAGAGAAGGAAAAAGGAGAACAAGGGTTTGTAGAGCATCGTCGGCAGCCCGTTCTCTTGAGGTTAGTGAAGTTTTTCATTCTGTATTCCTAAGTAGCTATTGTCATAGTTCTTAGAAGCTAGATGACGATTGTTGTGGCATCTAGAAAGCGCTTTGTAGAGCGTTTGTGAGGCTCATTGTATTTATCTCAATATTATAGTAGAACCCGTTGTAGCGGAAGATTGGACGTAGCCCATAGTTAGGGTGAACCAGTATAAATTATCAGTGTCGTTTCTGTGCTTTTCCCTATATTTGCATATTGTGGTTGTGTTTGGATATTTTCTATGAAAGAGAAATCATACAGGATAGTTAATTTCCCAACAAAATATATAAAATAGAAGAAGCAAAATTTTGAAGTTTGGCCTCAAGATCCATTGCTCATACATTTGAATAAAAACTAGTATGAGATCCAACATCAAGTACTCAGATAATGTAATTGCAAATCAAAAAGATACATTATAGCTCATGGGAGATAAATCCATTTTACAAAGCATCACCAAGTAAGTTTTAAGGAAGAAAAAAAATTACAGTAACAATGAATAAGTTAGGGCATGTGTTAAAAAAAAACTATGTATAAGAAGGAGGAATTTTAAAGTTCGGCCTCAGTTTCGAACCATTGCTCACACACAGTGAATCAAACAAGTAGTATGAGATTCAACACAAAGAATGAAAAATTTGAAAGACAAAATATACATAATACAACTTACCATAAACAAAGGCAGAAGGGGTAGCAAACAGAAATTACAAAGAAGAGTCCGAGTGTTGGGGTGAAAAGAGGGTGAATTTATAGGGGATGTGGTTAGTTGAGGAGGTGAAGGTATTTATTATCTATCCATATAAGTTAATTAACATCCCAACCACCATTACACGAATATAAAGAAAAGTAAATTGAACTTCACAGAAAATAGAAGTAATAAGTGAATTATATTTCAGATTTTCAAACAAATAAAAAAAATTAAAAATCAAATAGGAATTATTTTTTATAAAAGTTATTAAATATCCCAACCACCATTTCAATTCATGGGGATGAAGAAGAATAAATTGAAACTGATAGCAGAAGTAAATGGATATGAAGGCTATCTTTAATGCAATTGGTTGTAGGAATACGAATAAAAAATCAAATATTATTGAATAACAGAAACCTCATACATGGAACGACAAAGAACATAGCAGAACATGAAAACATGGAACAACAAACCAAAGGCAACAAGAATATAACAACGCCCACGATGTGAATCACAGACATCTAATCATCTATGTACTCAGAAAATTAAAAATAATGGTAACAAAAGAAACAAAGGACTCAATAGCAAACCTACTCCGAAATTAGTCTTGGAAGAAAGTTGAGAACCAAATGAAATTTTAAACTACACCAAAGAAATTTTCAGATTCGGTTTAAAAGGAGATTAATAATTACATCAATCGGAAAAAAAGGAGAGGCAAGCAAATATGGGAATGAAGCATAAAAATTATAGATGATACAATAACATACAAAAATTTCAGAAAAGATTTCTCATCATCGACCGTAAAGGATAGAAAACAAACCTGTTTGAAGACCCTCCACTACCAAGCTCCAACAACCCTATCAATTGTCCTACCAAGCCTCCATATGAGAAGAATCATGTTCTGTTCATGGGGTAATTGGAGGCGGCAAGAGATGAAATGTTGGGGTAAATTTGAGCGGCAAGGGATCAGATTTGGGATTAGGGTTTCTACAGGGTGGCTATGAATAATGATGGTAGTGCAAGAGAGGGAAATAGATGAAGTGATTGGGAATGTAACACAAATGCAGTAGATCTGAAGAAAAACGAAACCAAAATCATAAATCTAAAGAAATGGAAAACTAAAATCATAGATCTGAAGAAATACAACACTAAAAACGTAGTTATGGAGTTAGGGGAGAGGAGGAAGAAAATTGAAATCATGCGGCGTGAATGGTTAGAATGACGAGGCGGTTGGAGATTTCGATGAGGGGTTTTTGAACTATGATTTTGCATGAGGAAGAATGCGAGAAATTAGTAATAAAATTTAGAAGAAATTAGTAAGAGGAAGGTGAGAGATAGAAGAGAGAAGCTAGAAACCCTAATCCATATGAAGAAGGTAAGAAGACAGATGAAAAATAAAAAGAGAAGACGAGGAAAAGAGGAAGACCAAACCTGTGTTGCAAACCAAGGGATTGCACAGTGTTCTACCCTAGACTTCAAATTAATTCCTGGGCTTCTCTACCCATTGGGCCAAACGTGGGGTTGGCTCAAGATGCCAAACCCGACTCAAGCCAACCCCACGAGCCAAACACCCCCTTAGTTCACCTAAATTTTATGAAACAAGATAGTGAAGGGAAATTATAAAGTTCAAAAATTTTAAATAACATATAGATTTAGAAATTTCAAAATTTATAAAATAAAATTTGTTGAATGCATACTTTGAAATAAAAAAAAAATATTAAGATTGAATCAAAATGTAAAATTGATTTAAAAAAAAAACATAAAATCAATTTAGAAAAGTGGAACATGAATAAAAAATAATATTGAAATTCTAAAGTGTTGTTTTTTAAAATATGGAGGAAGTAGTTGTATTGCAGAAGATGAAAACTAATACTGTGTCAGAATCCATTATGGAACAAGGCAACCGAAAGGATTCCGAAAATACTGGAAGATAGTGTTTCAATCCATCTATTGATGCTAATTTAAACCTCTCATCACCATCAACCTCGTGAGCTGTGTATGTCCTTGCAGAAATACATAGAGTAAATACGCATATAGACTGACTAAAGACAGAGTAAGTATAGGCGGATACTGTACCTGGATTTTTATCGATTAGTCAGCCCGCAAAGGATGGGATGAGAGTGTACAACTGTTTCGATGACCCCCTTAATGAGTTAACGACCTTCTTTCTTCCCCTACAGGCCTTGTCATAACTAATATTGACTTCGTGCTTCTTCCGAACATAATCGATTATGTCACGTTGACTATAGTGCCTCCCGTTGTTCATACTTAACATTGTCTTGACACATTCGCTTATTGTTGTTGCTGTTGCTTGCTTATATGGTGACTACGAACAACGTCAAATGAACACGTATGATCCAGTACGAGTTTCCTAATCATCCATAATTTACTGTTGCCGTATCGAGAGGAGCGGCAATACCACTTGCATGTTTCTTCGATGCACCTCACAACTAATTATTTTTTGTTGCATTTAACAATTTTAAATTGAAAACTCTCTTTTAATGCAATAGCATAAAGCGCCTTCTTCAACTCTTCTTTATTTTGAAAGACATATTTGTCTTTCAAAATAAAGAAGAGTTGAAGAAGGAACTAGAATTATCTAGATAATTCTTTTAACGTGAAATCAGAGGGAGTACAATCAAGAACAATAGGGTCCATGAAAGTAAATTTCTTCTCCCTAAGGTAAAATGTATTCTAGGCGGTGTCTAAACTTTCACTAACCCTGTATATGGTATTATGTATGAGGTCGCTATCTACGACTATGCAGTAGTCGCTGAACATGACATCCGACATAGGGATATGGCCCACGCCACGTCCCTATCTACTAACAACCTCATAATTATTGACTTGCTAGCACCATTTCTGAACAGTGAAAGTCATGTAATCTTTTTTCCTTCTAGAAAATGAAGATCTCTAGAAATACATTCACTGAGTTGTTGTAGGGTGGAATCAAATGGAATTGAAACGTGCCCAGTACTGAACCCTTGATAATTGTCGTGCTCCTCCCAACTTCCATCATGTAAAATCGTGGCTAAGGATGATCGCATAATGTTCCCACATTGATTGATTTAATTTTTGAAAAAATGTAACAAGAAAACGAGTGGGGATTAATGGCACCTTGTGTAATAACATTAAAAAGAAACTATATTTAAGGTTGTTGATTGCAGTGGAATCTTCAAACCAATTAGTTATGCTTGTTAACAAGAAATTAATAATATTTCAAAGTAATTTGAATGATATAGGTAGATTTGGTGGTTTAAATTTTGTGGAAAGATCTTAGTAATTATGTAGATTTTGTAGTTAAGGTGGTAGGGAGAGATTTTAGGGATTTCGTTTGAAGATGTGGGAGGCCTAAAATGTCGATGGGTAAAATGGAGAAAGCCTACAAGGACAATATGGGCATGAGATGTGTGGTAGATATATAAGGAATTATACACCTCCCCAAATTTTAGGAAATCAAATCTGACATGCAATTTAGAAAAACTTTTCCTAAGGATTTCCCTATTTGGATCGACACGTTGAGCTAGTCCAAAGGCCCGATCTAATATATTTATTTATTTAAAATATGATATAACAATCGATAACTTTTCAGAAAATAAAAAAATGGTAAAAAAACATAAATTAAAAACACAAAAACTTGGTTTGAAAAATATTTTAAAAATATTTTTTAATAATTAAGAAATTATGTATTATATAGGCCACTCTCACCCATCTATTTCTTTAATGCATTTGGTTTCAGCAGAGTCCAACCATCTAGTCGAGAAGTCCGTAGAAATGGGCCTCTCGGAAGAGAAGGTTGTCGAGAATGGTTGGAGGAATAGAAAGGTCACCGGTTCGAATAAGATTAAGGAAGACACTGACACTAAAGCAAGCATGGTCTCTGTCGATGAAATGTTCTCCAAATTCCTCGTACTGCATTGACCAAACATCGTCCAACATGGCTCAGAGAAATGAGTTTGGGGTGGCCTTAGAATGAATGTAGCCGTCGTCTCAAATATCTTCCCTCCAACGTTGAATCTCACCGGCTTTCGTTTATGACTTGCCATGGTTGTCCGATCCTGCACACAACAAATTACTGATCATCAATATTCACATGATTCCATCGAGTAGCCTAGCCTAATGTAATGTGTCTCAAATATCTTCCCTCAAACGTAGAATTTTGTTCAGTAGCGTACCACGTCAACGAGCTCCTGTGTCTGACCTTGACTAGTCTGACCTAGTCCTAATTCTTGCAGAAACAGTCTCAAAATCTGTCCATCCAAATTTCAATAATGAAGTTATCTTGACAAGCAAATAAATAATATATTTTTATTCACTTTTTTTTCAATAAATAAATATATGAAAATTATAATTAAACAATATGGTCTAATGACAAAAAATTATTTTATATATATATATATTGAACATAACTCAACTGGTTAAGGTACCTATCTTCTATCAAAAGATCGTGAATTCGAATTTTCATTCCCATATGTTATACTAAAAAAAATTATAATATATATAATCTATAGCAAAATACACCTTTATGAAAAAAATTCTAAATGGTCTAATATACGTTGTCAAATCATCAAAGTACATTCGGCAACTTAACTGCTACATCATTTTGACGTTTAACGATTAAAAGAACCGAGGAGCTATTTAGAACATTTTTCCAAACTTCGGAGACTAAAAGGTATTTTTTTCCCTATAATTATTATTCTCATAACATTTGTTTGTTGATCTAAATTTCATCTATTTTTTTTCTCCAAAAAAAATTCATCTATTTTCGTATAACATAAAATTAGTTTTTAAAAATTTCAAAGTTGAAAATCATCTCTTATATTCTGTAAAATTAAATTATCTTCTATTTTTTTACTATTTTAAAAATTATACATTAACAATTCTTAGACAAAATTTTAATAGAGAGTGTAAATTAATTCGGAATATAAATGAATTGTTTTATATATAAAAATATTATAGCCATTTTAAATTGATTTGTAAATTGTAAATTTTGTTAGTAGACTTAACCCATTATAATGAGTTTGATTATGAGTCCAAACATATCTTTTCCCATATATCTATCCTACCAAGGACTTGTTTGCACCCGATTAATCTTATTTAATAATTGTTTTAACTCTAAAACTCATAAATTTTCATATTATCAGCATCTAATAACTTAATAAAACTTGATTATAACTAACTTGTAAAAGCATGTAATATCATCAAATTAACTAAAAGACCTGTTTGTCAATTTTTTTTTAAAAAAAAAAAAAAACTAGAAAACTTTGATAGATCATAATAACAAATTTCATGCTTCAAAATTGTTATTTATGATTGATGAATAACAATTTTGAGGTATGAAAACTAAGAAAAGTGTAAATGTTGAGAAAATTAAATAATAGTACCTATATCAATGATAAAATTGTTTAGAAGTGTGACATTTTAAATATGATGAGAAATACACTAGAGGTTCTTAATTTGAAGATAAAGTTTTATTTGGTTCTTAAGTTTTGAAAAGCGGCAATTTGATCTCCAACCTTAAGTTCTAAAAGATTTGTTTAAACTTTGGTAAGTGTCACTTGAGTTAAATATTTATTAATTTTATATTACTTTTAATTATGGGGTTTTTCTTTTTCATTTCCCTATTCGTTCTCCAGACTTTTTGAAAAGATGGAGAGAATTTAGAAAAAAAAATAGAAAAAGAGGATGATTTCAAACTATTTAGAAAAAGGAAAGGACTTGGCTCCGAAAGATTGAGGAGCACCGGTAGATAAGATTTTCATACCACTCTCATTCACATTATGCCATATAATCTTGTTTTAGAAATAAAATAAAATAGACCCCACGTGGTTTATGAAAAAAAACTCACATATCATTCTCTCTCATAAATTACATTATCTCTCCTGTATTCTTATTATACTTTCAATAAAATAAAGTAGACCCCAAGTTTTGTTAAATATTTAATTTTAAAATTTTTGTTTTTATATAATGATGCTTACAATTAACATATAGATGATAAACAAAATTTAATTATAATATTTCAAATTAAACAAAAGAAAATAATTATTTTAAAATAAAGTTACAAATAAAAAATAATATATATGGATGAGTAAGAAATAAAATCTAATTATAATATAGATTAAATAGAACCAAACAAGTCAATAATAAAATAATATAATAGATCAAAATGGTTAACCAATAAACTCAAATTATAATAAACAAATATTTATTTAATTATTTTAAAATAAAAAATATTTAAATGAAAGGAACGAACCTATTTAGTTTTTTTTTTTAATATGAACCAATTTAGTTTGAAAAAGAAAAACATATACGAATGTACAGCCGGAGATAAATGTGAAGTTG